AATTTGCATTTGTTTCCTGATTTGCAATATGACTTCTCTCTGGTGTTCCTCATATTCCTATGTTCTAGGCTTCATAATTAGGTGCCTTAGATAGTATATGTATTATGTATCATTTCATGCATTGTGTTGGGCATTTGGGTACACAGTAGGATAGACTTTTCTCTGAGGAGACTTCTTCACGTGGCAATTTTAAAATATTATCTTTTATAACAATTTACGTGTTTATTTATTATTTGTTCTTACTTTGTTAAACTGTCAAATGAGAGCTTCTGAATTGATTCTGTAAATTATTTTAGCTTGTCTTTTTTCCATTTTGTTCTATTTTTTGTTTGTTCTTTTTGATTTTTTATACATTATTGTCTGATCCTACTGTTGAATAATTTTGTATGCTATTAAAGTTTTAACTTCCAAGACCTCATTATTTTTTAGTGATTGTTCATTTTTTTTATGTATTCCTGTCATTACTTTAAAAATGCAGTATTTGCCTCACTTTTCCCTGGATGTACATTGTACATATATTCCTTATGCATGAAGTTTGTTTCATATGGGCTAGAACCCCTCCCCTCTTTTCCATGATTATGTTTTCTGTTGGAGACTTCTTTTTTAATGGTTTGCATTTATTCGTGGTCCATTCATCATCAACAGTGAGACATTAATGATGCATTGACAGGTCTGCATGTCTGAGTAGAGAAAATTGACATGTGAACTACACTGTAATAGAAGATAGTAATAATCTAGCTTTTTATTATGGACTCTAAATGTTAGTTTTTTGAAGATATTGCTGTGAGACTTTTAATTTCCCTCAGCAAATAGTCCTTCAATCCCTAAGAGATGTATGCCTGGCTGCAGGCATTTTTGAGACAAAGCAAGACAAAGGCTAAAGTTGGTCTTGCTCTAAAGAGTGCAGACTTCTGTCTTTTCCTCTGGTTTTCATTCTGTGGTGTGTTCTCTTCCTCTCTCTTTTGAGCCATATTTGTTATTCATTATTTGGAGTCCCTCTGGATCCTCCTTGATGATGGAGTGGAATGCTGAGGGCAGTGACTTTACTGAGAAGAAAAAGAAATAGGATTTGGGCCTTCCCACTAGTCTGTATGTAAGACTTATTCTCACCTCAGTACGTTTACAAGTTCTGGTCCCACTATATAGGAAACTCCTTTAAATATTCACATGGTTGGCTTCCTCCCCTATTTCATTTCCATGTTCAGATGTTAGCCTTTCTGTGAGAACTTCCTTAACCACCACATTGAAAATTCACTTTGCCCTCCAACTCTCTACCTTCCCTATACATATTCTCCAGCTTATTTTCCTGAAAAAAATTACTTTTAACTTCTTGAAAATTTGTTTATTCTATCTATTCTTTCTTTTAGGATCTAATTTCGAGGAGTATAAAGATTAACTGCTATAGGGAAACAGCTAGAGGGACCACATGAACACAGTCCGAAACACAGAAGTTAGTCCACAAATAATTATGAAACAAAACTATTTTCTTTATATTTTAATAATCTTTATAGTTTTCCACATAGACTATTGTGTTGTCTGTGAATAAATACAGTTTTATTACTTCTTTTCCAAATGGTATGCCTTTGATTTGTTTATTTACCTGCCTTATTGCACTGCCTAGAATTTCCTGTATCATGTTGAATAAGAGTGGTGGTTAGAGTGGATACTCTTAATCCTGAAATTAGGGAAAAGGTATTCAGTATATAACATTAAAATATGTTAGCTGTATAGTTTTTTTCAGAAGCTCTTTATCGCTCCAAGGAAATTCATGGCCATTCTTAGTTTGCTTAGGCTTTTGGTCATGAATGATAAATAGTGACAAAATTCATGATTTTTTAAATCTAGTGAAATTATGATTTTTTTCTTTATCTGTTGGTATTTTGATTGACTTTTGGTATTATTGATCCAGCCTTTATGATTGAAATGAACATCACTTTCCGGTGCTGTATTTTGTTTATATATGTTGCTAGATTATATTTGCTTATATTTTCTTGAGAATTTTGTCAATTATAAATGTCTATACATCTTTTTTTTAAATGCCTTTTTCTCATTTTAGAATCAAAATGATTTTGGCCTTATAAAATGAGTTAGGAATTATTTCCTTCTCAACTATTTTCTTGAATGGGTTTAACTGGTCTTCTTTCTTTGTTAAATGTATGATTTAATTTATCAGTGAAGTCACTTAGCTTGGATTTTTTGCTTGTTTTGGAAGGTGGGGATGTTATTAAATACAAATCAGTATCACTAATAGATGTAAGATTATTCTGCATATATTTTTATTTGGTAGGCTTGGTTTGAGGTTTTTAAAGAAATTTTCCCATTTCATTTATTTTTACCTAATTTATAGCTATAAATTTTTTAATATATAATTATCATTTTAATGTCTGTCATTGTAATGTCCTCCCTCCATTTCCCAAGCCCCTAATACATATCTTATCTTTACTTGATCAATTTCACTATAAGGTATCCATTTTATTAATTTTTTATTTTGTTTATAATGTCATTGATTTTTGTTTTTAGTGATTTTATTTTCTATTTGCTTTAGTTTCAATTTGCTCTTTATTCTAGTTTGTTTAGAGGGAAGTTTAGTTCATTGATTTCAGAGTCTTTTCAAATATATGCATTAATACTATAAAAGCTGCATTTCCCACATTTTTGTTATATATTTTGTTTGTTTGTTTGTTTGTTTGTTTATATTCAAGTTAGTTAGCATACAATGTAGTGTCAGTTTCAGGAGTAGAACCCAGTGATTCATCCCTTCCATTCAATGCCCAGTGCTCATCCCAACAAGTATTCTCCTTAATGCCCATTACCCTTTTAGCCTATCCCCCTGCCACCTCCCCTCCAGCAATCCTGTTTGCTCTTTGTATTTAGGAGTCTCTTGTGGTTTGCCTCCCTCTCTGTTTTTATCTTATTTTGCCTTCCCTTCCCCTATGTTAATCTGTTTTGTTTCTTAAATTCCTCATATGAGTGAAATCATATGATATTTCCCTTTCTCTGACTGACATATTTGACTTAGCATACTACACTCTAGTTCCATCCATGTAGTTACAAATGGCAAGATTTCATTTTTTTTGATTGCTGAGTAATATTCCGTTGTAGATATATACCACATTCTTCTTTATTCATTCATCAGTCAATGGACATTTGGGCTCTTCCCATACTTTGGCTATTGTTGATAGTGCTGATATAAACATTGGAGTGCATGTGCCCCTTTGAATCAGCATTTTTGTATCCTTTGGATAGATACCTAATAGTGAAATTGCTGGGCCATAGAGTAATTCTACTTTTTTATTTTTTGAAGAACTTCCATATTATTCTCCAGAGTGGCTCCACCAGTTTTAATTCACACCAACAGTTCAAAGATGTACCCCTTTCTCTGCATCCTTGTTAACATCTGTTATTTCCTGTGTTCCTTTTTGATTTGTTAGTTTAATATTCTTTGGCTGAATACCCAGTAGGAATTATTGGATCATATGGTAATTCTATTTTTAAGTTTTTGAGGGACCTCCATTCTGTTTTCCATTGTGGCTGCACCGGTTTGCATTCCCACCAACAGTGCAGTTCACCATATCCACTCCAACGCTTGTTTCTTGTATTATGGGTCTTAGCCATTCTTACAGGTGTGAAGTAATATCTCATTGCAGTTTTGACCTTCATTTCCCTGACTATTATTTAATGTTGAGCATCTTTTCTTGTGTCTGTCAGCTATCTGTATGTCTTCTGTGTCTTCTGCATATTTTTAACTTGGATTGTTTGTGGGTTTTTTAGTGTTAAGTTGTATAAATTCTTACTTATATATTGGATACTAACCCTTTATTGGATGTGTCATTTGCAAATATCTTCTCCCATTTAGTGGCTTTGCATTGAGTTTTGTTGATTGTTCCCTTTGCTGTGAAGAAGTTTTTATTTTGATGTAGTCCCAATAGTTCATTTTTGTTTTTGTTTCCCTTGCCTCAGGAGACATATCTACAAAAATGTTGCTCTGGCTGATGTCAGAGAGATTAATGCCTGCACTGTCTTTAATGTTTTATGGTTTCAAGTATCACATTTAAGTTCTTAATTCACATTAAGTTTATTTTTGTGTGTGATGTAAGAAACTGGTCTAGTTTCATTCTTTTGCATTTAACTGTCCAGTTTTCCCAGCACCATTTGTTGAAAAAACTGTTTTTCCCATTGCATATTCTTGCCTTCTCTGTTGAAGATTATTGGCCATATAGGCTGTTGTTTCCCCATCCCCCAGGGTTTTCTATTCTGTTCCATTGATCTATGTGTCCATTTTTGTGTCAGTACCATACTGTTTTGATTATTACAACTTTGTAGTATATCTTGAAATCTGGGATTGTGATACCTCCAATTTTGTTATTCTTTTTCATGATTGTTTTGTCTATTTGGGGTATTTTGTGGTTCCATACAAATTTTAGGATTGTTTGTTCTACTTCTGTGAATAATGATGTTTGTATTTTGATAGGGATTGCATTGAATCTGTAGATTGCTTTGGGTAGTATGCTATTTTAACAATATTAGTTTCTAACCCATTAAGTATGGAATATGTTTCCATTAGTCTGTGATGTCTTCAATTTCTTTTATCAGTGTTTTATAGTTTTCAGAGGTCTTTCACTGCCTTGGTTAAGTTTATTCCTATGTATTTTATTATTTGTGGTGTAATTGTAAATGCTATTGTTTTATTAGTTTCTTTTTCTTCTCCTTTATTTTAAATTTTTTTTAAATGTTTATTCATTTTTGAAAGACAGAGTGATACAGAGCACAGCAGGGGTGGGGCGGTGAGAAAGGGGGACACAGAATCTGAAGCAGGCTCCAGGCTCTGAGCTGTCAGCACCAGGGCCCGATGTGGGGCTCGAACTCATTAACCGTGAGATCATGACCTGAGCTGAAGTCGGACGCTCACCCAACTAAGCCACCCAGGCGCCTCTCTTCTCCTTAATTTTAGTGTATAGAATGCAACTGATTTCTGTATATTGGTTTTTATCCCACAATACTACTGAATTTATTTGTCAGTTCTAGTAGATTTTTGGTAGAGTCTTTAGGGTTTTCTATATATAGCATCAGATCATCTGCCAATAGTGAAAGTTTTACTTCTTCCTTACCAATTTATATGCCTTTTATTTCTTTTGTTGTCTGATTGCTGCGGGTGGGACTTCTAGTACTGTCAAGTAAAAGTGGTCAGAGTGGGCATTCTTGTCTTTTTCCTGATCTTAGGAGAAAAAAATCTCTCAATTTTTCCCCATTGAGTGTGATGTTAGCTGTAGGTTTTTTTATATGGCCCTTATTATGTTGAGGTATGTTCCCTTCAAACCTACTTTGTTGAGGGTTTTTATCATGAAAGGATGTTGTACTTTGTCAAATTCTTTTTCGGCATTTATTGAAATGATCATATGGTTTTTATCCTTTCTTTTGTTGATGTAATCTATCATATTGATTGATTTGTGAATATTGAGTCACCATTGTATCCCAGGAATATATGCCACTTGATCGTGGAGAATGATTTTTTTAAAATGTGTTATTGAATTTGATTTGCTAATATTTTGTTGAAGAATTTTGTATCTATGTTCATTGGAGATATTGGCTTGTAGTTCTCTTTTTTTTGTGATCTCTTTTTCTGGTTTTGATATCAGGGTAATGCTGGCTTCATAGAATGAATTTGGAAGTTTTCCTTCCTGTACTATTTTTTGGAATACATTGAAAAACATAGGTAGTAACACACCTTTAAATGTTTGGTAGAATTAAGGGCACCTGGGTGGCTCAGTCAGTTGAGCATCTGACTTGGGCTCAGGTCACGATCTTGTGGTTAGTGGGTTCCAGCCCCAAGTTGGGCTCTGTGCTAACAGCTCAGAGCCTTGAGTCTTCTTTGGATCCTGTGTTTCCTTCTTTCTCTGCCCCTCTCTCACTCGTGCTCTGTCTCTCTCTGTCTCTCAAAAATGAATAAACATTAAGAAAAATGTAGAATTCACTGTGAAGCTGTCTGATCCTGGACTTTTGTTTGTTGAGAGTTTTTTGAGTACAGATTCAATTTCATGGCTGAAATTCAGTCTGTTCAAATTTTCTATTTCTTCCTGCTTCAGTTTTGGTAGGTTATATATTTCTAGGAATTAATCTGGTTCTTCTAGGTTGTCCAGTTTTTTGACATATAGTTTTTCATAACATTCTCTTATAATCCTTTGTATTTCTGTGGTGTCAATTAATATTTCTCTTTTCTTCTCTTCTTCCATTTCTGATTTTGTTCATTTGAGTCCCCTCCCTCTGTGTTTCTCTGTCTCTCTGTCTCTCTCTCACTCCACTCATTTTACAAGTCTGGGTGAATATCTTTATGATCATTACTTTAAAGTCCCTTTCAGGCATATTACCTATCTCTCTTTTGCTTAACTTTCTTGCTATAATTTTGTCCTTTTCTTTCATTTGGTACATATTTCCCTTTCTCTTCATTTTGTCTAAACCCCTGTGTCTGTTTCTGTGTGTTAGGAAAATTACTGCATCTTCAGCTCTTGAAAGTAGTGACCTTATGAAGAGATTGTGTAGTGCCCTGCAGTGTAATGTCTCCTGTCCCTTAGAACCTAGTGCTTCAGGGGCATTTCCTATTTGTGTTACATGTGTACTACTATTGTCTAAGCCACTTTTGCCTTTGCCAGAGTTGTGGTAGCAACTTTATTGTTTCCATTATTGTTTCCTGAAGTTTCATTGGTGGGTGTGGCCTACAGTTAGACCAGATGTCTCCCCACAGCCCACTGTGGTGTGCAGTTGAGTGGTGTATGTGGTTATCATTCCCACTCCTCAGGGCAGAAGTCATTCTGGAGTCGTGTTGGTCCTTTTTGGGGATGCTTGCATGATTTCAGATTTGTGCTACCACTTTGGATGGGCTCTGACCAAGGGCCTATTGGAGAGGATAGCAGGTCCACAGGGGTGGGTGTTAGCACTCTGGTGTTAGCAAGGTTTGTGCAGGTCTCCTGTGGGAGGCCACCGGGAGCCCAGCCTGCCTGGAGGGAGCATGTCAACAGGAGAACTTGGATGCAGGGTACGCTGTTAGTAATTTAGATAGTGAATATTGGCTCTGTTCTGGTTTCTGCAGGTGTCCATGTGTCTAAGCTAGGGGGACAAGGAGGGAAGTGACACTCACTAGCTCTTTTGTCCTTGGAGAAGTTTCCCAAGATCCCTACCCCTCTGGTGCAAGCTCTGAGATTAGTAAACATATCTTCCTCCTGTATACTCCAGGTGATTTTCACACTGCTGCTTCTATGCTATATCTCTTCAGGACTCTTTGTCCTGTTATCTCTTTAAGGGTGGGGAGTCAGTTTCCTATTGCCCTCCTAGCTCTCCCAGAGCCATGCCCACTGACTTTTAAGGTTCTAAGTGTTAAGCCCCACTGATTGTAAGACCTTGTGACGTTATGTCCATCTAATTTTCAAAGCCAAATGTTATGGAGATTTGTCTTCCCCATGCATGTCCCCTTGCCTGGGTGCCTATTGTGAGTGTCTTGTTTATTTCCCCTCTCCATGTCCATGACATTCCTCCCCTTCACGGATAGTCCTGTGGGTCTCTTTAGTTTCCAACCACATCTCCATCCTTCCTACCCTCTCGATGTGGCCCCATCTCTACATTAGCTATGGAAATTCTGTTTTGGTCAGTCTTTGGGTCATTCTCTGGGTTATGTATATTGATGTAGGTGTTATGTAGTTGTATCCGTGGAACAAGGTAAGCTTAAGGTCCTCCTACTCTTCCATCTTTCCCTGAAGTAGCATTGCACACATTTTGAAAAATATTTTTTCATTTTCATTTAATTCAAAATATTTTATAATTTCATTTTGGTTTCCTAATGACCCATCGGTTATTGGGAATTGTGTTTTATTTCCAAATGTTTGTGAGATATCTTTGCACAATTCATTTCTAGTTAAGCACGATCTTGGTCAGAAAGTTATGTAGTGTCTCTCCTTTCCTGGTAATATTTATTCCATTACTTATTTAAAAAAATAATGTTTATTTATTTTTTGAGAAAGAGAGAGAGAGGGAGAGAGAGAGAGAGTATGAGCAGGGGAGGGGCAGAGAGAGAGGGAGACACAGAATCTGAAGCAGGCTCCAGGCTCCTAGGTGTCAGCACAAAGCCCACATAGGGCTTGAACCCATGAGCCATGAGATCATGACCTGAGCCAAAATTGGATGCTTAACCAACTGAGCCACCCAGGAGCCCCATCTCTTTTCTTGGAAATATTTAAAAAAAATTTTTTTTAAGTTTATTACTTATTTTGAGAGAGAGAGAGAGAGAGAGAGAGAGAGAGAGAGAGAGAGAGAATGTAAACGGAAAAGGGGTAGAGAGAGAGAGGGACAGAGAGAATTCCAAGCAGGCTTTCTGTGAGCACAGAGCCTGATATGGGACTCGATCTCACAGACTATGAGATCATGACCTGAGCTGAAACCAAGAGTCGGACACTTAACTGAGCCACCCAGGTGCCCCTCCTGGTAATATTTATGAAATGCTTCATATGATATGACAACTCCAGACTAATTTTGATTAATATTTATATGCTATATGTTTTCCCAAGTTTTTCTTTTATAGGTACATATATGTATATACATATAAACATGTATGCATGCATATGTATCTTTATGTTAACATGAATTTTGTTTAGAAAAGATTTAGTTGGGTCTAGGTTTTTCATCCAATTAGTAATTTCTTTTAATTGATTTTAGACCATTTGTATGCAATTAAATTATTAGCATATTTGAATTAAAGCTTACTATCTTGTTAGTTGTATTCTATTGGTGTTATCTACTATTGGTTTCTTCTATTTTTCTTTTGCTTTTTTCTGCCTTTATTTAAATTGAATTATTCTTTCATTTTTCTCTCCACTCTTGGCTTCTTTTTTGTACTTTCTTTTATTTGTTTGTTTTTAGTTGTTAACCTTTGTTTTCATTTTTCATTTTTCTCTCCACTCTTGGCTTCTTTTTTATACTTTATTTTATTTGTTTGTTTTTAGTTGTTAACCTATGTTTAAAATGTATATCCTTAGTTAATCATGGTATACACTTAAATACTGTTATTTCATTTCATGTGTAGTGTAAGAACCTTACAGTGGTACATTTCCAATCCCTGCCTCTGATCATTAATGATATTGTTGTCATAAGTGTTACTTTTGCATAAGCTATAAATATATAATATATTTCTGATTTTTTTTTTGCCTTAGGCTAAGGTAATCTCTGTTGTGCTTTGATTTAGACCCAGAATCTGGTATATTTGGGGTCCCTAGGGTTCAGGGATGTGATTTTCTGCCTCTTCTCTAGTGATAGAAAACCTCTCATGGTCTGAGTCTAGGATAGTAGTTCTTACCTTTGTCTAGTTGTATAGAAGATATTTTTTATTCCCTTCTCGTAGCTTCTATGGGTCCTTACCTATACCCTGAGAGTGACAAGGTTTTCTGTCTTACCGTCAGTAGAAAGGTACCTTCTGTCTTATCTTTCCACAGAGGAGTTGGGGTGATAGATCCAAATGGAGTTTCTGCCATTCCCACTGCAGAATGTCCCCCTTCCTCAGGCCTGCAACATTGAGAAAGCTTTAATTGGTTTCTTGTTCTGCACAAATCTTTCTTGTGAGCATATACTAAGTTCCATACAAAAACACCTTTGACTGGTACAAGTTCCACTTGCCTCTGAAATTCCCACTAATTTCATACTGCTATACTAGCTCTCATTACACTTTTAGAAATTTGTTTTAAAAAGTTTAGCTTGTATAGTGCCCTTATCTTGTTTCCATGCTCTGTCCCAGGTAAGCCAGTGTATGTGTCTGAGTTTCTCTTTGGTGGGGTTTGTATGCCATTGTATTTCATGCTTTTGATTGCCTTGTGATTTCAGATTTTTGATGAGGTTAAAGCAATTACGACTTTGAGAATTTTTCTTTGAGCTTTTTCTTGTTATTAGAGTGGGGGTGATGTTCTTTCCAGATTTCTGCATCTTAAGCAGAAGCTAGAAATAACCTTTATTTGTAACTTAATTTTTTTCTGGATTTATTATATATTCCTTTTGTTCAATAAGCTTTGCTTGGCTGAGAAGGCAATCACCGTTTAGTGGTGTATATTATGCTCACCATGTAAAAATCTCAACAACTCACATCAAATTACAACTATGGAAGAGATCTTTTAAAACATTAATTTGATGTCACTATATAAAGATATTGTATGTAATGTTTATAAACTAGTCTATAATATAAACTAGTCT